CACACACACACACACACACACACACACACACACACACACACACACACTCGACCGCTGGAGAGAAATAAAGTGAAGGAAACTGTTTCTCATTTGTTTACATGAAGACAACCAGAGAAGGAAAAGTATTAACCCGCAAAGAGATCAGAATCATTGCGTCATAAGTTTGAATGAAACAAGTTTAAAGAAGACTATTCAGCACACACACACACACACACACAAACACACACACACACACACACACACACACACACACCTCAGACTTCAGGGGAAGAAACGCTGCGACAGCCGAGCGGTGGGATGAAAGAGAAGATAATGAAACGTTGCGATGATGCGTCCTCGCAGCCTGAATAAAGCTGAGACTGAGTCTCAGGAGCTTCAGCTACAGAACATCTGACGAGTTGTTCTTTTGGTGGGAGAAGCTATTTCAGGGTGTTCACGTCTAAGCTCCCAGGACCCCCTGCTGCACATATCAGATTCTCACTCCCGCTGTTGTCTGCTCGGCCACCGTTCAGCTCCCAAACATAATGTCTGGACTGAGGGGAGGGTTCAGAAGGAGCTCAGGAGCCGGAGTTTTGATGCTTTCATTTTGTGCCGATTCTTAGTGTTTCTGAGCACCGGTCCCTTTAGAAAACCACTCATTTTACTGCAGCAGGGGGTCTGAGAGTCTGACCCCTCTCCGTCCTGGTTCTGGTTCTCCCGGGCCTCCCTTCCCTCCAGTGGGTCCAGCAATACGTCCTGGGTCTCCAGCAGTGAGGAGACACTGAGCTCTCTTTAAAATTGACATATTTGTAATTCATGGCACAATTTAAACGGGATCAAATAATTATTTGTCTCTTGCCATTGACTAGAGAGGAGAAGAAAGGAAAGAAGGAGAGAGGAGAGGAGAATAAAGTAAAGGAGGAGAGAGGAGAAGAAGTAAAAGGAGACAAGGGGAGAAGAAAGGAAACCGAGAATAAAGGAAAGAAGAGAGAAAAGATAATAAGGAAAGGAAGCAAAGGAGAAGAAATAAGATGAAAAGAAAGGAAATGAAAAAAGAGGAGAGGTAAAAGGAAGGAAGGGGACACATGAGAAAGGAATGGAAAGGTAAGGAGACGAAAGGAGACAAAATAAAAGCAGAGGAGTGGAAAAGAGAGGAAAGGAAGGAACAAAAATGGAAGGAAAGGAAACAGGAGATGAAAGGAAAGTTTAGAAAAGAAAAAGAAAAGTTTCTCGCCACTTATACATTTTCTAAATTTAGGTCTCATGGTGGTCACCCAGAAGGGGGCGGGACTTCCCCATATGGCCTTATAGCTCCAAACTTCACCAGATTCAGGGTTGGACTCTCCTCGTGGCTTCGCAGGTGAAACCAGACCGCCCTTTATCTCAAAGAGTTCCTGTTCTCCATGTGGGAGAAGCAGAGGATGCTCACATGACTCCTCGTCTCTCTTCAGAGCTCTGAGGAGGAAGCACCCTCCCTCAACCTCTGGCCTGAGCCTTCAGAGGTCCTCCTCTTCCTCACACCCCCGCTCACACAAGGCCTCCTTTATCAGGAGGAGGAGGAGGAGGAGGAAAAAGATCCCACGCTCACACCGAGAGAACCAACAGATAGATGTGTTTGTGTCCTTAAAGGGTCTTCAGCGGGACTCTTAAAGGGAGCAAACAGGACAATGAAGCCCCAGAAGGAGAAGCGTTCTCTGGGTGAAGTCTGCAGCGTGGTGCAGACAGAAATAAACAGCTAGAAGCCCAATAATTAAATAATAAAATGACAACAATAAACAGCACTGAATGGGTGAATCCTAGTTATAACTTGGCGTTAGTTTATTTACTTTATTTGCTGATCTCATAAAGATCAATGCAGAGCAGAATCAGGTTTAAAACACAAACAATAAAGATCAACACTGTCCTCACTTTCTGTGTTTCCTCGTCGCCTCCAAGCGTTCCTCCACTTAGCCGACTCAGCGGTTCCTTATGTTTGTTTTTAAATCCAATAAAAACAGTTTTTAACCACTCAGAAGCTGAACTGAATGCTGGGAGTTTAGAGTCAGAGTCGAGAGAAGAAACGCGATTACAAAGAAAACAGACGTCACTGAGCCCGCCCACGGCGTTTGATTGACAGCTGATCTCCAGGAAACCCGAGTGCTTCACACCAAAGACGTTCTCGCCACCTTAAGCTCCAGTTAAACCATTAAAACCGGACTTTAATCCGGGAAAACAAGCCCCTCGTTACACACTCAGAGCTGAAGGCCACATCAAAGCTCTACTACCCAGAATGCTTAGCGAAAGGAACCCCCCCCACCCCCGACCCTGAAGACACGCTGGACTGTCAGACCCTTAACCCTCAACCGTCGTCCACACATCATAAAGACCAACACTCCAACTCCCATAA